AAAGTTTGATGAATAAGTCATGCGGACCAATCAAACTTAAGATTTTGCGGACAAATCCCACTCCAAACAGCATATAAATCATACACTCATTACATTCGTTCTTGGTATATGCAAAGTGTTGTTTTTTATAAAGATTTTTGAGAAATTGGCGATTTTTGATAAAAAAACATTTGTTTTAAAATTTTATAATTAATATATAATCTGCAATTTCTGGTCTAAATTTTCACATAATATTTTAACATCAGCCAAATTTAGCATCAGCTATGACAATTTATATTAATTTTTATTAACAGAATATAATAATATTAAAAAAGGTATGAAAATATTAATTTTCAATTTAAAAATTAAATAAATATTATATTAAATTCTATATAAAAATTTTAACTATATAAATTTATATTAAATTTGTAAATTTATATAAAAAATTTATATAATATTTATATAACTTTGTAGAGCTATATAAATTTTATAAAAATTATATTTGCTAATAAATAAATACAATATTAAAAAACAGCTACTCTAAATTATAAAAAAATTTATTACTTGTTGTTAAAACATTTAAATATTTTAAATAATAAAAAATTGGTGAATTATTGGCATTACAGTGAATTTATAAAATATCCAGAAATTTGAAAATTTTGACTACTAAGTAAACAATAATGATTTTTGACCGAAATAACTACTGTCCTAGGGTGTGGATGCATCATTATAATAAATTTATATGTCTAATGATGTGGGGAAGATGGGTTAGCACATGGGAAAGATGGGTTAGATGCATTATCAATCAAGATCAGAGGTCCAAAAAACTTTTTTGAAGTTTAATATTGATTTATTTATATGTCATTTGGTAACTAAAATTTAAAATTGGGGACAAAACACTCAGATTTAGTGACCGAATTTTAGCTTAATTTCATAAATTCACCATAATGGCTATTAAGTAATTAAATAAAAATTAATTTGAATACAAGTTTTTAAAAAGAATGTTTTATAGAATAGGTTGGCAAACTCTATCAACTCTGCAACTTCGATATTAAAAAATTAATTATTACTAATTATTAACAAAGCTTATTCCTTATATTGCCCATCTATTCTATAAAACATCTATTTTATATATTTAATTATAAAATCTTACTTTATAATAAATTTTAATAACAAATAATTTTTAATTATGATTAGCTAATTTTAGATCAAATAAAATTAGTTAATATATATTACAGCTGATATTAAATATTACATGAAAATTTGAACCAGAAATTGCAGATCATATATTGATCATAAAATTTCAAAACAAACATCTCTTTGTCAAAAATCGCCGATTTTTCAAAAATCTTTATAAAAAAAAACACTGTATATTAACAAAAAGTTTTCTTTGAGTGATTTTACTATATAACCTTCTAAGCTCTAATGTTAATATAGACGATAACCCTAACACAAATGAACTTGAAGAATTTTGATATTAGTTAAGATTTGTTTTAATTTTTCCTTAATCAACATATGATTTGCAATTTTTGGCCTAAATTTTCATGTGATATTTAACATCAACCAAATTTAACATCAGCTGTGACAATATATAATACATATATACTGTATATTTTTTAGTATTTAATATAACTAACATAATTATAACCAAGAATTTGCTTATTTAGCCAACATCACATTAGGTAAAATTTAGTAAAAATATATCTGCAACTAATCAAATCTTTAACCCTAACCTACATGATGTTAGTTAATAACTAAGTTGAACCAAAAAGTTATATAATTGTTAATAACTAAGTTGAACCAAAAAGTTATATAATTATAACCAAGATTATAAAGAATATATTATGAAAATTATATAATTTAGTTTATTAATCTTTACTGATTTTAGATAGCTGTCTCAATTTTTTCCGCCTCTTGTAATAACAACCAATCAAATTTCAGAATCAGGTGTAACGTAATAATCAAAACAAACATTTTATTTTCTAAATAAAAAAGTTACATGCAAAATTAAAGAAAACTGTGTTATAGTTAGGGTTAGGACTAGGATAATGTAACATCTACAAGTAAAATTATACAAAGAACATTTTTCATTAGACCACAGAAAGCGGTTTTCTAATTAAAATTTAGAGCTATTCTTGTTTTTTTTGCTTCGTCTCAATTTTCACATTACACCTGATTCTGAAATTTGATTGGGTTTTTCCAAAATTAAAAAATATTATATGTACAAATTTAATAGCAGGTTCGAATTTTGATCTAAAGGTCACCATTTGAAATAATGCACATGCCATTATTTCAATTTTTTTTGCAAACAAAAATATCATTTTTATTCATTTTTTTACACAAAATCAAAATTACTATGTTCATCAGTATACACTTAAATATCATTTAGGCATCCCAGTTGTAACTACATTATTTATTAAAACTTCTATATTAAAATTTAATTTCCTTTTAAAACATTTTATCAGGTTTGTTATTATTATTTTCACCTTATAGAGTTTGAAATTACTGGCTATCGGAGCTGCTATTCAAACAACTTGGTTGTATCTATATTATATATTAAAATTACTACATCAGACTTCAATCTGCTTTAAAATTTTACTAAGACTATTACCCTTTTTTCTCAATCTTACACAGATTCAAAATCACTGTCTGCCAGAATTGCGTCTTTAGCGTTTTTACTCAATTTAAGTACTTTGGGTTATACCAAATCCAAAATTATTGTGTTTACCAGAATCACACCTTCAGCAGATTTTAAATGCTATTTAAACGCCTTGATTATACATATATTATCTATCAGAATTGCCATATTAGAACTTAATTTGTTTATTCTTTTTACCTTATACCAAATCCAAAAAATTGCTTACTGAAATCGCATCTTCAGCAGATTTTCAATGCTATTCAAGCACCTTGAATTATACTTATATTATTTATCAAAATTGCATATTAGAACTTTATTTGCTTATTCTTTTTGCTTTATACCAAATCCAAAATTATTTACCAGAATTGCACTTTTAGCAAACTTTAAATGCCATTCAAACACCTTGGTTGCATTTATATTATCTATTAGAATTGCTATATTACAGCATTAGAACTTCATTTGGCTAAAAATTTAAAAGCTACCGAGACCGATATTTTTTTTTACCTTACAGAGTTTAAAATTATATATATCAGGATTGCATCTTTAACTGATTTTAAATGTTATTCGAGCGTCTGGATCGTATCTATATTAAACATTAAAATTGCCACATTAGAAATCGATCTGCTTTTAAAATTTTACCAAAATTATTACTTTTTTTGATACTTTTTTTTTGCCTTACACAAAATTAGTCAAAATTACTATGTTAACCAGGACTACATCCAAATCCCAAATTAATGTTTATCTGAATCGCATCTTCAGCAGACTTTAAATGCCATTCGAATGCCTTGGTTGTATCTATATTACTTATCAGAATTGCTACATCAGAACTTCATTTGAATAAAAGTTTAAAAGCTACTAGGACCGTTATATATACAAGCAACTCTTTCTATAACGAACTAAAGATTCTGGAAGAAAAAAAGTTCATTATATGGAAATTCCTATGTTTTTTTAAGAACCCATACCATTTTTATACCGAACTATTATAAAATTTCAAAATTTTTAAATTCATTATATCCAGAGTTCGTTATAGAAAGGTTTGTTATATCCAGAGTCGACTGTATATTTTTTTGTCTTACAGAGTTCTACAAGGGCAGTATCTTTAGCTGATTTTAAATGCTATTTAAGCATCTGGGTCATATCTATTTTAAATATTAAAATTTCCACATTAAATTTAATCTGCTTTTAAAATTTACCAAAATTATTACTTTTTTGCCTGATTGTTACTTACTTTTTTTGATATTTTTTTTTTGTCTGATATTTTTTTGAGTCAGTCAAGATTACTGTGTCTACTGGGGGCAACATCTTTAGCCGATTTTAAATACACTTGATTGTATCTATATTATTCATTAAAATTGCCATATTAGAATTCGATCTGCTTTTAAAATTTTACCAAGATTGTTTTTATCTTTTTTTTTTTTGATTTAAAAGATTACTGTTTACTGAGATTACACCTTTAGCAGGTTTTAAATTTCAGTTAAGTACTTTGGTTGTATTTGCATTATTTATTGAAATTTTTATTTTAAAATTTTAGAATTTTTTTTATTTTGTTTTCGCCTTATACCAAATCTAAAATTGTTGTATTTATCAAAATCATACTTTCAGCAGACTTTAAATGCCATTTAAATGACTTGAATGGACCTACATTATCTGTAGAATTGACATATTAAAATTTATTTGCTTCTAAAAATTTAGAATTCTATCGAGATTGTTGCTTACTTTTTTTTTCTTTTTTTGTCTTACAAAATCCAAGATTACTGTCTGCTGGGGCTGTATCTTTGGCCGATTTTAAATACTTTTCAAGTGTCTTGGTTATATATACATTATCCATTGGAATTGTCATTAGAATTCGATCTGCTTTTAAATTTTACCAAGATTGTCACTTTTTTTATATATAAAGATTCTGAGTCTTAACACGATCATTGTTTACCTGGATTATACCTTTTGCAGGTTTAAATTTCATTGTTTACCTGGATTATACCTTTAGCAGATTTAAATTCCATTTAAGCACCTTGGTCATATCTGCATTATCAACTAGAATTCTATTTAGAATTTTTCTTTCTTGCCTATACCAAATCCAAAACTATCGAGTTCACTGGAGTTGTATTTCAGCAGACTTTAAATGCCATTCAAATGCCTTGATTGTACCTATATTATCTATCAGAATTGCCATATTAAAATTATTTACTTTTAAAAATTTGGAATTCTATTGAGATTGTTGCTTGCCTTATACCAAATCCAAAATTGTTGTATTTATCGAAATCATACCTTCAGCAGACTTTAAATGTCATTCAAATGCCTTGATTGAACCTACATTATCTATAGAATTGCTATATTAGAATTTATTTGCTTTTAAAAATTTAGAATTCTATCGAGATTGTTACTTATCTTCTTTTTTTTTTTTTTTTTTTTTTTTTTGTCTTACAAAGTCCAAAATTAATGTCTGCTGGGGCTGTATCTTTGGCCAATTTTAAATGCTTTTTCAAGCGTCTTGGTTATATAAACATTATTTATTATAATTGTCATATTAGAATGTTACCAAGATAGTCATTTATTTATTTTTGTTTTAACAAGGCTACTATTTACCAGGATTGTATCAACAGGCTTTAAATTCCATTTAAGCACTTTGAGATTGTATCTGCATTATATTTATTTTTCTTTTCACCTTATATCAAATCCAAACTATCGTGTTCACCGGAATTGCACCTTTATCAGACTCCCAGATCCAAAATTATCATAATCTCTGGGATTGCATCTTCAGCAAACTTTTATATTCCTTGGTAATACCTATATTATCCATCGGAATTGCTATATTTTTTTAAAAAAATTAAGAATTCTACCAAGATTGTTATTTTTTTGCCTTACAGAGTCCAAGATTATTGCCTACAGGGTTGCATTTTAACTAATTTTAAATGCTTTTCAAGCATCTTGATTGTATAAACATTATCCATTGGAATTTTGCCAAGATTATTTTTTTTTTTTTGACATATAACAAGATTACTGCTTACCAGGATTGCACCTTTAGCAGGTCTTAAATTCCCTTGGTTGTATTTGTGTTATCCACTGTAATTTCTACTTTAAAATTATTTTTGCTTTATGCCAAATTTTAAATTATTGTATTTACTATAATCACATCTTCAGCAGACTCTAAATGACATTCAAATGCCTTGATTATATATACATTATTGCCATATTGGAATTCAATTTGCTTTTAAAAATTTAAATTATTCAAGATTTTTACTTACTTTTTTTTTTCTTCCTTATGCAGAATCCAAGATTACTGTGTCCACTGGAGCTAAACCTTTAGCCAAGCTTAATTAGAATCCAAGATTACTGTGCACACCATAATTACCATTTTTGACTGATTTTAAATGCAATTCAAAAATCCTTGGTCGCATCTATGTCATATATTGAAATCACTATTTCATGGCAAGGCACATTGAAAAAAAATTTTTTTGTCAAGTCAATCAAATCAAATGTCTTTTATGCTAAATTATTTGCTATATTTATTTTTTTAAAAAAAATTAATGCAAGCAAATATATATATATATATATACATCTTTTTTTTTAAAAAAAAAAAGGAAATAAAAAAAAATAAATGCAAAGCAACCCGATGGCACCAAAACTTCACAGCTCAGTATCTGAATATGAATCATGCTCGGTATTTGAATATGAATTACTATCTTTGTCTTCTATTATAAAATATAAATATTAAAAAAGCCATATATATAGTATGGTTTGATAAGATAAACTTGCCATTTTGTTCGCTTCTAAACCATTCTATTAGTGAATTGATCTTGCTTGCTTTACCTTCAAGTTTTAAATTAAAGTTCATTTAAAATATTAGAATTAAAAAAAAATAAAATAAAATAAAATAAACTACATACTGTGTTTTCCAATAAAAAAATTGGTTGAGATAGGTAGAATTACGAAATTTTTTCTGATAATATCAATGAGAGTCGCAACTCTTTGGTAATAACGGTTTGAGTGTTTAAGGTGTTGCTTTTCATGAGAATTTTTATTAATTAAAGAGTTTCCAAGTAAAAAATAAGCGCCTCTCTTTAAACTAACATCTTCAACAGAACAATTTTGCTCCTTGGCGATTGTTAATGGCTTTTTCTCCAACCATTTCTCCAAGTTTTGAATAAATGCTTTTTTATCTTTTGCATTATTATATTCATTTTTTATGTTTTCCTACTCAAAATTTTCTGGCCGTCTCTTTCAGATGTTACCCTGGATTTTAAAACACGAATTTATAATAGTATATGAAAAATCCTTCGTCTACTCATTCACATCAAGAGTTTTTTTTTTTCTCCTTTTTAACTTTTACTTGCAATCCTGCAATACCTAATTCTTCTTCCTATTTGAATTATAAAATAAAAATTTAATTAAATCAATCAAATCAATCTATCAATAAATCAAAAATAAATAAAACTATGCCTACAAAGATCATTCTCTTATTAGGATTATTCAATAAGCTCACAACGCTTTTGACGACTCCACTTGGCTAAAAATAAATTTAGCATATATTTATTAATATCAAAAAAGCTTCTACACCAAATATAACTCAGATGGAATTACTGTATATTACTTGCCTCCTTGAGGTAAATAACAGCCTGTTCTTGTTTAGCAATAATTTGTTCGAGTTCAGAAACTCGCTAGTCTAGATCATTCGTTTTATTGCTTTTTAATTTCATGTTCTAAACAGTTACATAAAAATGAATTAAAGTACGTATATATAATACGCTGGGATTTGGACCACGGGAATTTTTGTACATATATATAATATGCTGGGATTTGACAGAGATTTTTTTTTTACTAGAAAGATAAATCCACGGAAATGTAAAACTGCGCAGATGTAAAACTACGCAAATGTAAGGCCATGCAAATGTAAGGCCGCAAAAACGTAAGACAACAGAAAATATAGGGAAAAAAAGTTATGTCAAAGCTTTCTTTACTACTTTTCCAAGTTTTTAATGATCGTTATTTCTTTCGTTATTTAGATTACTTGTTTATTTTTGATTGGTAATACTGTACTATCTATATTTGAAATCTGATGCGTATGTGGAACATCAAATTACTGACGTTCTCTGAGAGGGTCAGTCGTGAATGTGGATCGTGTAATGCACGTAATCACGTGCAGAGTTTTATTAGCTATTACTAAATTAGGAATTTGTATTATCGGCACAAATAAGTAAAGCCTCTAGACACTATCTTCCCCAGTATTGCCATTAAAAATAGCACTTTCACATGACAGTGTGGCACCCTAACCCCCTATTTTTTTTGTTTTGTTGTTTTTGATAAAAAAATTTTTTTGCTACGTATTTATATTTTTGTTAAGTTCAACGTTCTCTTAAAATTCGGCACTGAACTTGGTGTTAGGTACTTTTTTGTGTAGTCTTTGTTCTTTTTTTTATAAATAAACTAGCACTACTTTCTTCTTTGCACAGGTTCTTTGTTGGCTTCAGAAATCTGGAACTGGAAATATGGTAGGTGTTTTTTTGTATAGTTTTGAGTTTTTTTAAATGAAGCTAACATTTCTTGTATAGGTTTTGCTTTGCTGGTTCTTCGTTAGATCTTGCTTTATTGGCTTTTGCCTTGTTGGCTCTTGCTTCATTGGGTCTTGCTTCATCAGGTCTTGCTTCATTAGATTTTGCTTTGTTGAGTCCTGCTTCATAGAGTCTTGCTTTATTGGATCTTTTTTCATTGGGTCTTGCTTTGTCTGGTTTTACTGTTGATTTTTGCTTAATTAGATCTTGCTTTGTTGGATCTAACTTGCTTTGTCAGTTTTTTTATTATTGGATCTTGCTTTGTCAGATCTTACTTTGTCAGGTCTTGCTTATTGGATCTTACTTCATTGAATTTGTATTACATTTTGTTGGGTCTTACATCATTGGGTCTTATTTTGTTGGGTCTTGATTTTATTAGATGTTGCATTTTATAGGTTTTAACTTTGTAATTAGGTTAAATATATAAAGATTAAAATAGAATTTGGATTATTGTTTATTTTGTAATATTTAAAAAATAAATATTATTTTTAGTGCAATTTTTATATAATACCTGTTTTAAAATTTTTTTAACTTAATTTAAAATATTTTATTATTCAAATTTTACAGATTTGTAAAATTCAAATAAAAAAAATTTCATTAAGTTTTGTTGAGTGGCATTTTAAAGTTCTCAAAATTTGATTCAAGATATCTCAGCAATCATCTAATCAAATTCAATGAAATTTTTTATTTGAAAATTTTCATTAAATTTGGTCAAATAGTTGCTGTGATATTTTAATTAAAATTTTGATGATGTTTTAAAAGTTCTCAAAATTTGATCAAAGATATTTTGGCAATCAATTAACCAAATTCAATAAATTTTATTTATATAAATTTTACAAATTTATAGAATTCAAATAAAAAAAATTTATTGAATTTGATTAAATGGTTTTTGAGATATTTTTAATCAAATTTGTGCTTAAGTTTTGGTGCAGTTTCTATATTATAGATATTTTAGTGTGGCGATTTAGTGAAGTGGTCAAGTTGTCACTCCCCAAGTAGTACATCCAGAGTTCAATTTCCACTAATGATGAAAAATTAAATTCTTTTGTGTAATTGTAACTATTTGGAGTTGGGATATAAATCTTGTAACAATGGTCAGACCAAATAGGTACAAGAGGTAATGATCGCTTAACAGATGGCTTATTTCGCAAGCCCTAATTAGAAATAGTAGTACAAACTTGGGAGATCATGGAGTATTCGTGTAATTGAGGAGTTACATGAAGAGATACAAATCAATAAAAGGTGGTATAAACCTACAATAAATTTCTGTGACCTGTGTAAATCTGTTGGACTAGTCCCAAATAAACCTACTTGACAAGTTCTAAATAGGGAAATAGCGCATACTTTCAATGATTCTGGAAAGTCTAAAAAAAGAACTAAAAGCTGCAAATCTAGATGAAGACCAGATGTTTGGCAAGCACTATATCAACTAGGCTATCAAAATTAATTGAAAGAAAAAAGCATAGGCTAATATCTAGGTTAAGCCAATAGAAAAGCAGATAACGTAACTTGTAGACTAAACTAGGCTATTTGGATTGGAAGTTTGGTAAAACAATAGAAGCGTTCTTGATTGGATAAGTACCGAAGCTAAAACTCTATAAGGGCAGAAGTAGGTAATAGTAGCAGAAGTAAAAAGTCACAAATACTTGTTCTCAGACTAGGCGTAAGTTACTTAAGCTTAGATCAGCCTAAATGTAGATATAGAAGGCTTTAGCAGGTTTATCTCGAAGTCAAAGGATTTCTTAAAATGTTTAAGAGCACTTTAAAACCTAAGTCAGCATGTAAAAATAAGGTAGTATTAAGTATCATTGCTTGGATATTGTTATATTAGCAAATTTATTAGTCAAATTTATTTAGATTATATATTTTATTTTTTATTTTTTATTTTATTTTTTTTTCCTCTTTGGCAACCTTGCCAGTGATCCTTTATTAAGATTATTATATAAAACTAGTTTTATAATGTTGAGCTTAATATCTAGGCCCGACATCCCTCGGCTGTCTCTATAGATGCCCAAAAGTGGTCTGCAGCACTAGGTAGAGGTTTATATTCTCTGCCTAGAAGGCTTTTACCAAGTTGCCTCAGAAGCCTTGTAGACCTCGAAGAGGTCTTGATTTAGTTTCATTGAGTCAAGTTTACCTAAATATCCTTCTGCTATGCTATTATCTAATTCCAATCTATCTAATCCTAATTCTATTTGGCTATCTAAAGTACCTTTCTTTCATAAAAATACTATACTATCTATTTTTAAGCTAATATTCTTCCTTTTCTTTTTCCATTTTACTCTATATTTTCTTGCAGATAACTTGATTCTTAACTCTTCGATACTTCTCTTTTCTTCCCCTTTATCTTCTTCATTAATTACTAATAATCCTCTACTCTGTAATAGAGTTTTCTTCTTTAC